ATATGAAGGATTTTTTTAAAGAACACAAAAAAATATTTATATCGGGTTTTAGGATTAAAAAAATTACTTTTAACGTCATCAAGATTTAGTTATTAAATTTTGGAAAAATATACAAACAAGTTATTAAAGAAAATTCTACGTAATTAGTTATTTAAATCACAAGAGGACGAAATAAAATACAAGTGAATTTTAGAATGTTTGTTTACATCTAGGGGCTGGCAATTTTCTTTCCAGGTACCTAAAGTTAAGATAGTTATTTTTATTTTTCATTTTTTAAGAAAATGTTACTTTTTATTCTTGTATTTATTATAAGTAAAAAATTTATCTAATTCGACAAAGGAAAGTTTCCTGCATCATTCTAATTAGTAAAATAATGTCCAGTCAAATTTGCATACTCTTTCAGCGGATTGTTGTTGTTGCTGCTGTTGCTGTTGTTTATTTACGACGCACTACAGCTGCACAATGGGCTAATGGCGACGGTCTGGGAAACATCCCTGAGGATGATCCGAAGACATGCCATCATAACTTTGATCCTTTGCAGAGGGGATGGCACCCCCGCTTCGGTAGCCCGACGACCTGCGCGCGAAGTCGAACACTTTACGGTAAAACAGTTTAGCGAGGACCGATACCGTGCACCCATGGTCCCTACGCAGACTGATCCAAGTGGTCACCCACCCGCACACTGATCGCAGCCAGTGATGCTTGACTTCGGTGATCTGCTCGGAACCGTCTCAGCGGATTGACGAATAACCTTTGAAACCAAAATTTCTAGCTGTGCACATAACTTTGTTTGTCGTATCTCATCACCATGAACTATCCACATCTGATGTCATTACGACGCGTTTCTGGAAAATTTTCCGGTCTAATTGCCTATAGCTCCCTCTAAAAATACTAAATGGAAACTGTTGGTTGATTCAGTGGCTGTGAATATTTGACAATCTATGGTATATTGTATAGTGTGTTTCTTCGTATTTTTATTTTTTTATTTATTTCTGTGCGATTTTATTGGAAGGGATATTAATTATTTTTATTTTATCATTTTAAAGTTGAGTTTTTATGCTTTATTTCAATCAAAATTATTGAATTAAGATTGAATTGCGTGATTTTATGTTAGTTTTTTCAAAAATATTTTCAAATCGTGCGTTTATGCAGAAACATCAACTCCAAATCATCTTTTTTTTTACATTTCAGTTTTATTATATGACGCATAAGAATTATTTCTTTGAAAATTTTACTTACTCCTTTATATTTCTATCTTTTCATGCAATAAATTCTAGTATAAACAGAGAAAGTTTGAAAAAAATCAACATTAATAACACTTTTCCGCATATATTTCTCCATTAGTTGAAAAGAATTAAGGTTTTATTTTATCCATGCAAATGCCTATTTAATTCAACATTGGATTAAATATAAGAACAAGAAAAATAATGCAAAATTAAAATATTAAAGTAAATCGTAATTTACTTTGCAAAACGCATTTTTGTCTTCATTAACGAAAGGCGTCCTTAACGTAATAAGATAATAGCATTTCATAGAGCTAAAATAAAACAAATTACCAAATGATTATGAATAATTTTATAAATTTAATTAAAAATAATAAAATAAAACGATAAACTATCAATTTATCATCCAAACTGATGGTTAAGCTTAAACCGTTTGGAATTTTGTTTTGCTAAATTTGGCGTAATTTGATTTTAGAGAGGGTCATCTTTTATATGTTGTGGCACTGTCGAGTGGAAATTCTTTTTTTAAAAATATTTTTCTGCTCTCATCACCAGACGAATTATACGCCAAATGTCTGCTTTACGTCGAAAAGTATTGCCAAGTGTTTACTTTCGTTTAACTTCGCGCCGGACAGAGTATAGTCTCAGTTCAGAGTATAGTCTGAACTGAGTATAGTTTAATATAAATCAGCAGTAAAAACTTTATAAATATATGATATTATTTAAAACTAATTAGGTCTTTTCTTAAATTTCATTTTTAATTAAGTCAAATTATATGAAATCCAGTCGAACATTATCTATTTCAGCTATGCGCTTTTTCACGCTAATAAGTAAGAAACGGAAACGTTTTATTAGATAGATTGTATTTTATTTTATAACCATTGTTGAACAGCCGACATAAGTTCGGTTTTACGACTACTAATGTTCAACTCCGTAGCCTAGTAATTTTAAACCAAATTCTGAAAACAAAGAAACTCCTGGATCAAGTATTGTGAGAAATTCGCCTTCATGGAGAACTTTTTGATGGAACTAACCAGTACTTGTGTTACATGGAGAGGAAAACCAATTAAACCTCCCACGGCTACCCTGGTACTGGCCTAGGTAAGGGCATTCTAACTCATCATCACTGAAGATATTTTACGTTAGCACCGTGGTCTGCGGTCAGTAGGAACTGGGTGCGGAATTTGTATCAACCAGCCATCGCTGAGAGTCGAACCTCACTCATCTCATTAGAAGGCGAACGCTCCATCCCATGAGTCATCACGATAGATTTTATTTTTTAAATTAATCCGTAGTATTTTTTTTTTGAAAGATGAATCAATGCATTTTTATTTTATTTTATAGCCGACGCTGCAAAGCTGATTCACTCTTGGGTTTGCTGCTATCAATTTTTAACTTAATAACCTAATAATTTTGAGTCTAATCCAAAAGACAAAGGCTCTATTGAATTTAGCATTGGAGAAAAGCTGCGCTCGCGGAGGAATTTTTGATGGAAATAACGTGTTTTTGTAATTTATATGGAAGTAAACCAAGAAAACCTCAAATGGTTAACCCGACTGGTATTATTAAATCAGAGCATCCTTCCATACAAAACATACTATCGGTAAAATATTAAAATGAAAAATGACACATTATTTCTTTTGGAACACACACTAAAACAAATAATTATTTCTGAGATTATAACTGATTAATTTAAGAATTATACAAACTATTTTATCCGCATAGCTTTTCTTTAAAAAAAAAAAGAATCCTGCATCGATTTCTAGAATAAAAGGATCGATTTCATTTAAAAATTCTAAAGACCTTACATATTTAAATTAGTTCGTACCTCCCATGTCATTTCCAGATTATTGCTTCTATTCTTGAATTATATGACAAAGATTCTAATTAAACTGGAAATAGAGATTTGCTTGATTTCAGTTCTGCTTTGTCAAGAGACAAAGCTTATTCTAATTTTACCCTCGAAGATGAAAATGAATGTCTGTGGAACAAAGCGTCTCTAAATTAAAGAAGTCATATGATAATAACTAATCCAAAATTTTTAAAATTATTTTTTAATCAATTGACAGAATGAAAATTTTATGATAGAGTAATGCTGCTGGGCTTGTTAAGATATATATATATATA